AGGTGCTTCGGCCGGCTCGGTGGGGAGGTGGTGGGTAGGTGCTTTGGCCGGCGCGGTGGGGAGGTGCGAACGGGGCGGGGGGGTTGTGGTAACTCCTTTCTGCATGTACTGTCAGACTGGTGCGAGCTCCCGAAGTTCCAGGGAGCTCTGACGCTGTGTGTGTAGCAGGAAAAACAAATGAGAAAGGAAGGAAAAAAAGAGTCGTCTCTTTCTCGGTGACGATAACAATGTTCTTCGAATCGTTGAAGATTCGTTGCTGTTTACTATTCTGTTTGTGATCGTGTATGACCTTGCTGTTTGTGACCATTGCTGTTTACTATTCTGCTTTCCACAAACACTTAGAAAGACAGAAGACGCCAAGAGTTAAAACAGTGATACAGAAAGCACCAGCCATACACTAACAAAGAAAACATAGAGTCAGAGACAGAAAGAGCGAAGTGAGATTCTTCATTGGGGTTGCATCCTGACGGTGTTCGCGGGCGCAAGCTGCGCTGGCTGCACCTGCTTGTATTTTTTTTTAATTTTTTAATTTTTATTTTTTCTATTTTTGGCCCGGCCGGGCAAGTGGCCCCGGGCCACTCTGGTAGCCTAGCTGAAGAGTCGTTTGGGGGCAAAGCTTCTGTCCTCAGCAAAGATCTGAGGAAGAGGGAAGAAGAGTATGCGTAGGTGAAGGAGGCAACCGATCTGTTCAGAGAGTATCACAAATATTCAGCCGATGGTTTAAGATGAGGAGGTGCAACAAACTTGACTCCAATGCTACATCTCCCCTAGGGCATTTTCTTCATGCACACAGCTCCCCTCTTCTGAGCCGTTGGCTAGGTGCTTGCATTCCCTTCCCTTTTCCCAATCGGCCACCTGCCTCCTTTACCTACTCTTATATTCTTTTACCGTTTCTCTTACTTACTGCATTTTAGCAGCTACCAACTTCTTGTCATTCGACCGTCTGTTCAACCTGGTCGCAGTGTCGCTTTTCCCAGGCAGCATCGAGCGAATCACTTGCAATCTGGTGTTCCTTATGGGAGCCAACATAAAGGTTAAAGGTGTAATCATCTCCCTTGCAATGTGCCTACACTGATATCTCCATTGGATGTCTTACTGTCGAAGCTCGCAAATTAGAGTCCATGATCTGCAAAAGTCAGCCTATGCATCACACATTCGTTGGTTTGGCGAGATTGATTCCGGACAATTTAGAGAAGAGTCGGTAGGCGTGAATCAAAGCTGGCGACCAGCTTCCCGAGCCCACAAACAAAATTCATGATATATTAGGTCCTACCCCTCTTCCCCCTTTCCTTTTTCTACTACCTATAGCGGTTTGCATGCCTTAGCTGGCATGCGTCACCGACATGCATCATGTACTTCACTAGTTGTATGTTTTGCAACGCGATTCCAACCGTCAACGAGTCACATGAAGTCGGATCTGTGACCACGTGGTTTTGCGTGAACACAAGCATCTTTGTCATCATATAATTACGATCAGAAAAACCCGAGTGGCCTGTAGGGTACGCTGAGTTGGGACCCCCCGCTATCTGGCCTTATCGCAGGGTTTCCTCCCCCCTCCATCATTGTGTGCGCTGACCTGGGGGATGAACAGGTTATTACAAAATATACTAAAATGAGAAATAAAAGGGAAGGAACAGGGTTTCTAGCACGTACAACCATAAAGCCAGAAACTAAACCGATGCTTGAAAAAATAGAAAAAAGTATCATTGTATTTGTGAGCTATGCATCCTATGATGTTATGAACTTGTTATTAAAGTTAATTAAACCCAAGATTACGCAAGCACCGCAGGCTTGTAGAGTCTGGACAAAGAAGAAAGAAGAAAGAAAAATCAGATCGCTTGAATTCGTTCTATTTGGCATTTGACTATTCAGTGTGCTAAGTTCAAAACCAAAATTGAAAATTTGCTTATTATTATATTGCTATTTGAGATGACGACCAACTGCAGATTGTGTTTGGAAAGTGATCAAAGAATTAAGATATTGCGCAATGATACAGAGAAGATTAGCAAATGGCCCCTACGCAAGGATGACACGCATAAATCGAGAAATGGTCCAAAATTTTGGAACGGGGTGTTGTAGGGTTCTCATTTTTCATAAGTTTGATTTGTTTTCCGGTGGTCGTGAGATCGCTTCAGGATTCTGGGGGCTTCTTGCCTCTCACTGTAGGCTTCTCTGATGTAGTTATATTCATAGATCTGTGGTGGTTTGATGACAGAATGTCGCGGTTGGCTGGTGTTGGAAGTAGAGGGTGGGATATCAAGCGTCCTACTAGTGAGGCGGCTAGCTGGTAGGATGGAAATAGGGTACAGCAGCAGTGAAGATGGTGGCTCTGCTGCAGTAAGTCTTGCCGGAGTGAGGTAAGAGGATGGATGGGGGTTTCTGGGACGTTCTCTGAACTTTTGCTTACGTGAGTGGGAGAAGTAGAGGGTGAGATAACAAGCGTCCTACTAGTGAGGGGGCTTGCTGGTTGGTAGGATGGAAATAGGGTACAGCAGCAGCGGAGATGGTGGCTCTGCTGCAGTAAGTCTTGCCGGAGTGAGGTAAAGAGGATGGATGAGGCATTTCCTGAAGTCTTGCCTATTTTTTGAATTTTGCCATAGTAATTCTTAATCTGGCTCCAATTTCTCTTCGCCAAAGCCGGGTAATGGCCCCGGTACCCCAAACCTTCAAAATTGTCTTTCAGTTGCTTCTGGTGGTCTCGAGATGCTGTTATACTCATAAATCTGCGGTCAGAACGRCGCTGGTTGGTGTTGGAAGTAGATGGYGGGATATCAAGCGTCCTACCAGTGAAGGGGCTAGCTGGTAGGATGGAAATAGGGTATAGCAGCAGCAGAGATGGTGGCTCTGCTGCAGTAAGTCTTGCCGGAGTGAGGTAAAGAGGATGGATGGGGGGTTTCGAGACGTTTCCTGAAACTTGGCCTAGGTGAGTGGGAGAAGGAGGTTGGATATCAAGTGTCCTACTAGTGAGGGGGCTAGCTGGTAGGATGGTAATAGGGTACAGCAGCAGCAGAGATGGTGGCTCTGCTGCAGTAAGACTTGCCGGAGTGAGGTAATGAGGATGGAGGGGGGTCTGAGTCTGTTCCTGAAATTTTGCCTATTTTCGGTAGTTGTTTGTATCTCTTTATCTAGCTCTTAGCCAAAGCTGGGTAGTGGCCCCGGTACTGCAAATTCTATTTTTTTTTCAAAATCCTATGCAATTTTCTATATGGGACGCTGGGCCCGGTTCCCAGCACGTGTTGCTCTGCACGAATAGATTGGAGCTTTGTTCCCATTAAAAAAAAAAAAGAAAAAAAAAGGAGTAGAGTGGCCTTGTCGTCACGATCTGTTGAGATTCGGCCCTTTGTTTCAAAGGTTTCTTAAATACAAAAAAAGCAAAAAGAAAAAAAGAAAAAAGAAAAAAAAAATACAAAAAGAAAAAAAGAAAAAAGAAAAAAAGAAAAGAGAAGAAAAGATGTTTCACCAGCAAGAGTCAGCATGGCTATTTTGGAAGTGCTGTTTGAAGTATCAAAAGATTGCCTCAATGGTGTCATTCTTTGTCATGTGGGTACTAATGCTTGGAATTGGGTTGATGAGGATGTCTGTAAAGAAGACTCCTAGGTATTTTAATGCCTCGCCGTTTAAGTGATGCATTGAGATCATTGCATTTTGTTGATGTTGTTAGTACTTGTGTGTTACCATAGGAGCCATTGTTTTGCTGACTGAATTTGGCTGACTATGGCTCTTATAACCCTTGCAGACTGAGGAAGTCCTGGAGCGCTTATCAGTAAAAAGCCAGTTACAGTCTCATTGGAGAGAAATGCACAAGGAAAATGCGAAGCATGGGGATTTTGAGTCAGCTCAACAGTGCCAATTGTTTTCTTTGTGTAAGTGTCCTTTCCATGATGCGCTCTGCCTCCCTCTTTTCTATCACAAGGTTCGTTGTCTGCCTGTGCTGTGGGAGACATTTCACACTACCAGTCCAATAAGCCACCAGATAGATTTTTTTTTTTTCGTTTTCCAGTTTTTGTCTAGGCTACCAGAGTGGCCCAGGACCCAACCGGTCCGAAAAAAAAATAAAGAAATGTAAATATAAAATTTAATAAAAGTATTAAAAACTAAAAAAGTATTAAAAACTATTAAGAAGTATAGTTATTTTTTTTAGTTCATTTTTCTGCATAATATGCTGTAATATTACTATAGGCTACCAGCCGGGCCGCGCGGGTCCCGGGTGGCCAGCCCGTGCAAGGACTCCCGGCAAAAAAAAAAAAAAAAAAAAAAAAAAAAAAAAAAAAAAAAAATCCGAAAAAAAACTGTGTTATGCAGAAAAATAAACTGAACAACTTTTGCCTCAGGGTCACATCGAAATTCTTTACCATTTTTAAAATAAAAATATTTTTAAAATATTGTTTTTATTTTTATTTATTTTTATTTTTTTGGCCCGGCCGGGCAAATGACCCCGGGCCACTCTGGTAGCCTAATATATATTTTATTATTTTTTGAAAATTTTCGGATTTTTTGGGTCTTTCTTTTTTTTTTTTTGCTGGGACCCTCCCTGGCACAGCCGGACTGATCGCGTGAAGAAAGTGACCCGGACGGCCCTGCTGTAAACATTTTTAAATGATTTTTTAAATTTCCCACTGTGGGTCATATGCATTGCATGCTGAAGGAGCTTGTGTTCCTGATGTGGTGTGTGGTGGCATGAAAGCAAACCTTTTTTGTCGGGTGTTGCCTAATAACTTGAATGCCGAAAACAGGAATCCGCATCTGTGCATTATGCTGATTCACTCATAACCTGGCGTCCTAACTGGTCTGCCGGGGTCATGGGGAAGGGCCTGCCAAAAAAGAAAAGAAATCGAGAAAATCTAAAAACAGCTATGCTATACAGAATAATAAGCTGAACAACTTTTGCCTCAGGGCCACATTGAAATTCTTTGCAGAATTCAAATAAAACATGAAATTTAAGAATTTAAACTGCAAATGGGTTGAGGCTCAGTGGTTAGAGCACTGGTGCAAACTGCGGATTGTGGGATGAAGTCGCAGGGTCGAATCGCAGGTTGTGACAGTGGCAATTCAGACCAGGGCCTCTTTGCACACATGGACGGAGGGCATTGACCAACGGGGCCATTTGCACAAAAGGGTTGTGTGTTTTGGGACTCGTTTGGGGGGAAAGTGGGCTCAGTTGGGAAGGAGATGGGGAGGGAGACCAGGACACACCCACCACTCTCCTAGTAACCGAAATCGGGCGCCCTTTGTAGCAACGGGTGACAGTGGTGCATGGACTGCCTCCCGGCAGGTTGCCCTGGGGGTTTGAGCTTGCGCCTGAGTTCGGGGGTGGTGGACCCCATTCCCGGTGACTGGATAGCAACGGTCTTGGTCGAGACGATTCTGTGGGTGGTCAAGATCCTACACTTGACTGCTTCGTGTCTGCGTGTGTGAGCCCACCCCGTCAGTCAGGGACAACTCAGTGCATCGTCCCTCCTGTCGGGCCTCCCTCTTCACTGTTCCCTCTCCCGCCCAACCTTATGAAAAAATGAAATTGTTAATAACTTGATATTTTTCATTTTTTGTTTTCTTTTGGAACGTCCGGGCAAGTGGTCCTGGGCCACTCTCTGGTAGCCTATAGCTCATAACTAAGGATCTAACAACAACAGCTATAATGTAAAATGGTGGAGTCAGGACTGAACTGGACTATGTGGAAGTGCAGGAGCCAACGCTTAACAAGCGAACAACATATAACTGTTTTATTATTCTACTGTGCTCTGCTTAGCGAACAACAATGCAGCAGCTCTATTAAAGCACCAGTACACCACACATCGGCCCGCGGGTGTCAGCACGAAATCCGCAGCACTTCATGGGCCGCCAATTTTGTTTTTCAACGGCGGCCCACGCCGCGCGGCCCCTGCGACTTTTGCTTGTGGCGACAAAAAACGTTCTGCAAGGCTGGGGCCGTGTAATTGCAGTTTAAGCAGATAGTTCTGAATCCAACACTGCTGCTAGATTAGTCATAGTAAGATGCTATTCTTTTTCTGATGCTCTCTTAGAGTGTGGCTCGAGTTCCTGCTTCTTCCCTGGCGGCTGATAGACAATTAGCAAGTAACAAGTCCTGCACCTCTGTGTGTGTGTGTGTGTGTGTGTGTGTGTGTGTGTGTGTGTGTGTGTGTGTGTGTGTGTGTGTGTGTGNAGAGAGAGAGAAAGGGAGAGTGGGTGCCAGAGTGAGAACGTCATCCCTCGGAGGTGTATCAGCACCCGCGCACCAACAGCATTGAAGAAGACACGTTGGATGTGGTACCAGTTTTCTTTGAGGTGCGTGGGTGTGGAGGGAGTACATATACATAGAGAGAGAGAGAGAGAGAGAGAGAGAGAGAGAGAGAGAGAGAGAGAGAGAGAGAGAGAGAGAGAGAGAGGGCTGCAGAACCCTGTTGTTGTTCTGTGTGTTTCAAGATCTGCAGTTTGCATGTGGCTTGTATACTTCTCTCCACATCTATCCTTTCGAACGTATATTTGCTTTAAGCATTTGAATTTATTGTATCTTCATTTACCCCCAGTCCATTTTGCTCCATTGTAATTGCAAACGGAGTCGATTCCCAGGTAGAGGCTCTACTCGCTCTTCGGGGAATTTTCTCTACTTCCGTCATGTCCAATTTTGTTCAATGTATGCGGAGCATGTTTGCAACTTTGCACCCTGAAATTTGGTTTTTCTTCCAAATGCTTTTTCTGGTATGGATTTGGGTCCACCAATGTCTTTTTTTGTTTTTTGTTTTATTTTTTGTGACAACAGGCCATAGCTACCGGGACATTTTCCATAGCCGGAAACCTTGCCCTCAGGGGAGAACTGGCTCAGCTGATGAAGCAAGGATGCTGACAGATGTGTATCTCCTCCACGCGGTACGTGCAGCAATGCAAATCGGTGAGACCAGGATATGACAAGTGAATGATAGTTATTTCCAATCCAAGAGTTGGTTGAAGGCTTGAAGTAATTGAATACGTCTGCCGAATCTTGTGCCGTATAAGACAATGGCGTGCCTTCTTTTAGGTTGGCTTGCCCTTCAGGGGCATCTTGATAAAGTTACGGTTGTAGAAGCTTGATGGATTAAATCGACTGTAGGCTGTAGCTATGCCCGTAGCTATGGCCTAGTTTACATGTGCTGTCCTTGCCACACTGTTTTGTAACTGTAGGCTGTTGCAGCCAACCACTTATTATCCTGGTTCTGGCAGTTGGTGGTTTGCTGATTTCTCGCTTCTATAGATGATACAAAGATCTGGTCCAATGTTGCATACTCGTGGAACACAGTCATAAGTATGGCGCAGATTCCCAGAACCGACCAGATAATACAGAGTAGGTACAATTACAGCCGAAGACTTGATACACATGGACTGACTCAAACCTGACTCAGACTGCAATGAATCCCTCACAAACATACATCTTGGGTGTGAAAGCCCTGGCCTTGGACATGGAAGAAAAGGCCAGGGCCAGCTCTCATACACAGATGAATGGAGGGGAGGAGAGACGAAGGGAGGAGGAGAGGGAAGATGATGTCAACTCAGCGTTTCCAAAAATAGTATCTCGAAATGTCAGAAGTGGCGAAAATCCGAAACGTCGCGAATACAGAGTCTCACAGTGTCTCAGATATCGATCTCACAATGTCCAGTTACATCTCCAGAGTCCAGAGGTAGATGAAGTCAGATCCCCAAAAGTAGTTCTCCACCGACAGCCTCAATGTTGCTATCTCCAATATCATCTGAACTCGTAACCATTCCTCGTACTTGTAGTAGTCCAGTAGGAGTAATTGCGGCGTGCTGAGCCAGAGCGCTGGTGTGCTGGTGCTAGGCGGCGTGCTGAGCCAGAGCGCTGGTGCCAACCGCTGCTGCGCTAGTCCTCCTCGCCGCTCCGCTATTGTCACGCTGAGATGCAATCCCAGACTAACCTGTAGACTAACCTGCCTCCTGAGGCTGGTACCCAGCTGATATAGTGCTGGGCCGGCCTCAGTACTACTGGTGCCTTCGGGTCTGGACCGTTGATCAGCCCCAACGGTTCAGATCCGATTCTGAAATCTGAAAGTAAAGTGGCGCCTAAACTGCGCCGCCGGCCGGTCCTACCGATGGACCGGTACCTGGCCTAACCCAACTAGCCGTTGGGTCTGGTGGGGTCTAAACTAGGCCTACCAGACTCTAATCTGAACCGACGGTTCCTAGGCCTACCTGGACCTGGCTGGGACCGTCGTGACCTGATACCTAGGCCTAACCCGTGCCTACTACAGAACCGGGCCCTAACTGGGGCCTGTGTGGTATCAGCATGCCACATCCAACCTGGATCAAGATCGACGTCGCAAAAGCAAGATCAACACGATATGAGGACACACAGAACTTGATCACAACTCAAAATGACATAGACAGGTTTCTCACTATCGCGGCTATGGCTGCCAGCACAACAACGAGCAGGTAACTCTCTCTCTCTCTCTCTCTCTCTCTCTCTCTCTCTGTGTGTTACTACTACTAACTACAGCGCCCAGGCCCTATGATCACTCTCTGAATGTCCTGACTGCTCTCCCTCTCTCCCTCTCCTGCTACTATACAAACTCACGGCTATGGTGCACAGCGCCATTGATTACACTCTCGTCAGGCACTGTCAGCGTTCCAAGATCTTGGCGCCCAGCTATGCAGCAGCACTTGTGCATCTGCTAGAATCAAAGAAAAGGAGGCTCCTGACATTGGCCTCCCTTCTATGCTTGTGCCTCTGCCTCCCACTTTATTCCGGACTCTTCCTGCGAGGCCCTGCTGCGGCAGCCAGAGATTCGGTCTGTCACGGAGCTTTTCGGTGGGACTGAGGTGCAATGGGACGGGGACTGGACATGTGGCGACCCCCTACCTGCTGACTTCGAGGACCCTCTACTGCTCGTACCGGTGTTATCCTATCAGGTCTATATTTGTCGAGTACAGTATCTACCTGCAAGTTATACTTCGGCCCTGAGGTACACAAGAGAATGGGGCACAGTACTGGGGCTGTACTGCGGCAGCGCATGAATTCTTTCGATGAAATAGAGTTGGCCAGTCGCTAACCAGTGTCTTGGCGCGGAGGGTGCGGAAACCCTGGAAGCAGCTTTGAGAACCCCCTGCTTCAGAGTGTCCAGAGGTGACGACATTCTTCGTGTGGAAAAGTCAGTAATACTCAGTATTGCTTCATTTATTACTTACGTGTATGCAATGCATACGGGTATGGGACGTGTACACGTACACGTATGGGATCCTGAGCCCTGTATCCCCAAATACTTTTTTTCTGTTTTTGGAGGTTTTGTTTTCTTTCTTTACTCTGCAATATCTGGAGACATACACATGCAATAATTTGAAATGAGAAACGCATGTTCCATTACATGCAACAATGTGACATTTTTGCAATTCCAACAATACAGTGTATGTATATTATCATGTCTTCCTCTGTGGTCTGACTTTCTAAATGTGTGTGTACCAAAGGCTTATATATTGTCACATATCTGCTACGGCAGCCATAGCCAGGGGTACCCGATTGAACTTCAATCGGGTACATAACATATCTCTGAAGATATGAACTAAAAGAGTGCACTTTGTGAGACAATTTCAAACAAACGATAAAATGTACAATACAAACATGAAGAGCACACTGGAACCATTCTTTAGGCTCACATATATTGTGGAAAAGAGTATGAAATTAACATGAATCCATCCAAGTGGGAATTAGATTTACGTTTTAAATTGATTGGCGGGAAATCTAGACAAGGTGATTTTACTGGAGTTTGACGATAAGGAGAAGGGCTTGGGCCCAAAAGTATGGATGAGGAAAGGATGAAAAAAGCAGGGGTAGAGCAGAAGCACATCCTTCCTGAAAAAGGAAGTAATCAACGCTGCTGTCTCAGGATCCCTCGGCCATAACGAAGGGAAATGTTGAGTGTGATCTAATGTAAGGGACGCTGGACTCAGTTTCCAGTCTTATAAACAAAAACTATTAAGAAGTGAATTAGGGGAAAAAAAAAGGTACGGATGGGCCTAGCTCAGGTGGTACTCCCATGAATTGTTAAAATACAGAGCCGTGTTCGAATCCAGACGATGATATCCCGAGGCTGTCACCCTTTTTTTTTTTCCAAATCTTTTTATCTTTCCTCCTCTCCTTCTTCCCTTCTTTTATAAGGGACGGCCTTGACATATCATCATTGAGCTGACCGGCCCCAGGTAAGTCAGAATTTAATAATTTATGCTGTTCATCTGATCGCAGCTGGATTCGGACTTGGATCTGTATTTCAGCAGTTCATTGGCCAGTGTACCAACTGAGCTAGGCCCGTTCGTGGCTGTCACCCTTTTTACTTAAAAAAAGAGAAGAAAAAAGAGGTCCAGAAAAAAAAGACAAACTGCTGCTTCTCTGGCTCTTTAAACTGCTACGGCCATTACTTCGCCTGTTACGGTGGCCTGAACCCCCAAGAAAAGGATTTTGAGTTGACTTCCTGTGTTTGTGCATGATTATTTTTATCAGTTGAATCACATCCAGAGGACGCGTGATCGAGTCCTGAAGAACTCTGCAAAATTGAAGCAGGCATCTGAGAGTGCAGGCCCAGCGAACCGACATGGACCGAGAAAAAAGCTGCAAGCTGACACCAGCAAGATCCTCCCAGAAGAGACCATGAGGGATCAAGGATTCACAAGACCAAAGGTAATTTTACGACTGTTTGGGTGGATTTTTTAGAACTATGGATCTGTCGTGGCAGCCACCTGGCAAGGCAGGAGCCCTTCAGAGTGCTTGTTCCTTCTTGCAACCCCCACCCACTCCTGGTGAGTGATTAGCAGGGACCTCCACTTTGTGTGTTGGGGCGACCATTGTACTCAGTGGAATTGATCACCTCCACTTTATGGGAGTCACCACAAGTAGAAGATCTATCAGGATCCTTGTGGATTGGCAGGGGGGAGAGGGAGGAGGTCTCCCTCCACTTTATGGGAGTCACCACAAGTAGAAGATCTATCAGGATCCTTTTGGATGGGCATGGGGGAGAGGGAGGAGGTCTGCCTCCACTTCATGGGAGCCACCACAAGTAGAAGATCTATCATGATTCTTTTGGATGGGCAGGGGGGAGAGGGAGGAGGTCTCCCTGGTATGTATACCAGAAGTTTTGTGAAGTTGTTTGGGCGTGGAAGCCATGCGCGTGGTTCAGGAGTGAAGCAACATAAATCTCTCCAGGATTGGACACCAGAAATCGCTTTTGTGTGAATATGTGTTTTGGGGCTTGAAAGTTTTAGCGTCTCATTGACTTCCCCCCCCCCCTACATTCCTGTTTTGTTTCACTGGTCTGATGTATGCTTCGCTCCTCTGCGCGTTACAATCCTTTTACGGGTTTGAACTTTGAAGGGTTGATATCATGGTCTGATTAGAACTCTTGGTTTCCATTTTTTAGGCTAAGACTCCGCTAAGTCATGAAAATCCAGGACAGGGTATGGTTTTGAAGCACCAGCTTCTTCTGCATTCGATGAAGCGCGCGTTGTGATACAAACTGAGATTGCTCTTCTTTCTGACTATGCATACTATGAGATAGGAAATACAATGACATCATTGACATGTAATTTGTAGGTTTTGTTTGTACATTCTTCATGGGTGATAACATCAAGTAGTTTAAGCCTTCACAATAGGCGCTAGGATTTGCTGACGTGTTCATGTGCCTTCTGGTGTGGTGTGTGTGTTCTTGTGCAGGTCTTGTTTCTGCTTCCATATCGTAGCAGTGCACTTCGGCTTGTTGAGCGCCTTCTCCAGATTGTGCCTCCATCTCAAAAGGTGTGCAGCAGTGCAGAAGATATCACACCTGTCATGCCGAAGCCAGATGAAACAGTGAACCTTCTGCTTGCTGAAGCTTGATGATTGCTGTCTGCAAAGGGTTCTTTTGAAGCGGGGGTGAATATGTACCTGTATGTGTGTGTGTGTTTGTGTGTGTGTGTGTGTGTGTGTGTGTGTGTGTGCGTGTGTGTGGGTGTGCGTGTGTGTGTCCACGCGTGTGTCATTATCTTTTTGTTGATGCAGTGTCTGTGCCTCTCTGTTTCTGTTCTGTTAGTGTGTGTACCTCTCTCTTTTTCTCTGTCCTGTGTGTGGATGTTAAGGAAGAAAAAGGGCAGGTTTGCGTTTGGGATAAGAATTCTTTGAGCGGGGGAATTGAGGGTGATTTTTTGAGATTTACAGTGACTTCCTTTTTTTTTTTCCGTAACGTTAATGCTCACAGGCCACCATAGAGAATAAAGCAAGGTTTTTCAAGGAGTTTGGAGCTGAAGATGATGACGAGGAGGAAGTGGTGGATCATGGAGCTTCAAAGAAGAACTTGAAACCTGCTGCGAATGGGGGGCAGACAGAGGAGAAGGACGTGGATCTGGACACGAAGCTCATTCTGGGTGGTGCGAGGCCGTCCGATCATGCATATTTGTTTGGTGGCAATAATGACGATATTTTCAAGCTTGGAATAAAGCTGACAAGGTAAGGGATACTTCGAATGTTGCTTGCACCTCAATAACCTCTTCGCCTATTGGCCACGAGCTATGGCGGCTACTTCCATCAACCTCCTTGCTTTTAAGCCATATGGCTGGCCGCATGTTGATGCTCCCATGCACTGGTGGTCTGCTGGCGGAAAGAAGCAGCACCAGTCCGTCAGTCGTCGGTGGTTGTGGTGTAAGCGACAGTGTGAATGAGTCAGCTTGCAGTTGGTAGATGATATACACGTTTGAGTAGCCATGGCTCGCGGAACGGATAGATGTTGTGCATTCCTCAGGTGGATACAGAAAATAAAATGCAGTGGCAGGAAAAGGTTGACCATGACTGGACCTGGATGCATCTGGACGTAATGAAGGCTGGGTTGTTGATTGACTTTCTGCCTGAGGGAAATTTAACTTTGAGTCATGGTTTTCTCTCCCAGGTCCAGGCCTTGCTGTTGATTTTCTCAGGCCAGGACTTCTGGGCCTGTGGCCGTGTGGCATTCTGCGGTCAGTTGGGCCTCAGATTGGGTACCCTTCCAGGTAGTCCCATGCCCCTCTTGACTGACACTTATTCACTCTGAACTGTGCCCTTCGACATTTCTGCTCGTGTCGACTTTCAGGATTCAGGGTATAGCCTCTTTTCATTTAAGCTTGTCCAAACCCAGGTCACTTCACAGTCATCTCAATAGACTACCTTATTCCCCCGAATACAACGTACCATCATTTTCGCTGCATCCGAACTGAAATGTGAGCCAAAATAGGGTCATAACGACTGCCGTACGTTCTATTCACAGGAAGACGGTAGGACCCTGGCTGTCAGGCATGTGGGTGGAACAAGTGCATGTGCCGTATCTTCCTCTCTCCCTCTCCCTCTGCCTTTCTCTCCTCTGCTTAAGATTACCACAAGTACATTCTGTTGGGGCTTCATGTCCCCCCCCCCCCCCCCCCCCCCCCCCCCCCCCCCCCCC